TCTCCCCTCTTCTTCCTTCTCTTTTCTCTGTCTCTTTCTTCTTATCCACTCCCACAATGTGATGAGCTCTAAACTACCATGCCTTTCTACCATGATGGTCTGACATCATGATTTTAAAAAAGTCAACCTTTCCTCCTGTATGCTGTTCATGCATTTGGCCACAGCAATGAGTAACCAACACACTGTGTTTTATAACCTTCATACCATTTATAGTATTTTACTGAACACACAATGGGAACCAAGGAGTATTTTCAGTAAATGTAGTCCAATATAAAAATGTATTTGAGAAGAAACATATTGCTGTGTTTCTGAAACTCTAAATTCTTGCAAGAGAAAGTTAAGTGGATTTCTGTAGTCAATTTTTACAATATTTAGAGTCATTTTGTAACAAAGTTGCTCCATAATTGTTATAGCACTAGAAAGACTACCTAGAACAAATACTGAGTAAATTATTCTTCAGAGAAAAATATTATTTTTTCTATAATTTCCCAGATTTATCTTCCCTCCCTCCCTCCCTCCCTCTTCTCTCTCCCTCTCTCTCACACACCCACACTTTTTAAATTCATATTTCAATTCACATTTCAAACTCTGATTTCTAGACTTTTTTTTTTAGGTTGGTCATGGGGCTTGAACTCTAGGTCTGTGTGCTGTCTCTGAGGTCTTCAGCTCAAGGCAAGTGCTCTACCACTTGAGCCACAGCGCCACTTCCAATCAAACTCTGATTTCTAATATGTATAAACTTTCACTTTCTAATTGAATGTGCTTTTTATTTATTTACTTTTGTTTTTTTAAATTTTTGTTGGTTGTGGGGCTTGAACTCAGGGCCTAGGTGCTGTTGCTGAGCTCTTTTTTTTTCCCTCAAGGCTAGCATTCTATCACTTTGAGCCACAGCTACTTCTGATTTTCTGGTGGTTAATTGGAGATAAGAACCTCATGGACTTTCTTGTTCTGGTTGGCTTTGAACTGTGATCCTCAGATCTCAGCCTCCTAGGATTACAGGTATGAGGCACCAATGCTGGCTTGCTTAGCTTTTCATTCAAGGATATGTTGTACCACATGAGCTGTACCTCCACTTCTGGCTTTTTGCTTGTTATCTGGAGATAAAAGTCTTGCAGATTTGGGCCGGGAAAATGGCTCAGTGGTAGAGTGCTTGCCTTACATGCATGAGTTCCTGGGTTTGATTCCTCAGCACCACATAAGCAGAAAAAGCTGGAAGTGGCATTGTGGCTCAAGTGGTCGAGCGCTAGCCTTGAGCTGAAGAGCTGAGGGACAGTGCCCAGACCCAGAGTTCAGGCCCCACGACTGACCAAAAAAAAAAAAGTGAAAGTCTTGCAGATTTGTCGGCCAAGGCTGGCTTTGAACCTTGATCCTCAGATCTCAGCCTCCTGAGTAGCTAAGATTACAAGTATGAGCCACCAGTGCCTGACAAGTTTCACATTTTTCTATATGAAGGTTGCTGATAATAGGTTAAGCCATATTGGTAGCTTATAGTATGAGGGCGCCAATTAACTCTGGATCTCCCTGTTAAGGGTTTATGTGTTAGAAGTTTAGAAGTGCAGCAATGTTAAAGGGTGGTAAAACATTTAGGAGAAGTCTGCGAGTTAAATAACTTTTTTGTCTTTATAGGAAGGAAATAAGGAAGGAAGGAAGGAAGGAAGGAAGGAAGGAAGGAAGGAAGGAAGGAAGGAAGGAAGGAAGGAAGAAAGGAAGGAAGAAGAGAAGGAAGGGAGGGAGAAAGGAAGGGAGAGAAGGAGGGAGAGGGAGGTAGGAAAGACTGGAGCCCAGTAGGAGGTGACCAGATCACTGGAGGCAGTGATCATGGAAGGAATTAATGCAGTCTCTACAGGACCTCAATTAGTTCCTGTGAGAGAGTTTTGCTATAAAATAGCCAATCTGGGCCCTTTCTACTATCTGGCTTCCTTTTTGCCATGTGACCCCCCCCCCCTTCTCTCTCTCTCACATACACATGCATGTTTCTGCCGTGATGCCAACCGGAAATTATATGACACAATCAAATGAACCTTTACCAGAGGCCAAGCAACTGGAGCTGCCAAATCTTGGGTGTTGGACCCAAACTGAGAACTAAATGAATTCTTTTCTTCATACATTACCTAGCCATAGGCATTTTATTATAACACTAGAAAGACCACCTAAAACAAATACTGAGTAAATTAAACTATTCTTCAGAGAAAAGTATTACTTTTCTGTAATTTCCCAGATTTCTCTCTCCTCCCTCCCTCCTTCCCTTTCTTCCCTCCCTCCCTCCCTTTCTTCCCTCCCTCCCTTTCCCTCTCTCTTTTCCCCTCGCCTCTTTCTCTTACACACACACACACACACACACACACACACACACACACACACAGAGCATTCTTTTAATTCACATTTCAAACTTTGATTTATAATATGGATAAACATTTCACTTTCACTTTCTAGTAATACTGCTTTTCATACTCTTTCCCCTTATTCACCCTCATTCCTCACCAGTTTTCAAAACAGGTATTCTGTCCATGATGTTTGGTTCCTCCACAATTTCTAGACTCTTGCAGGAATCTCTCTTTGATGGTGGCTTTGGTATGACCATGCTGGAAGTTGAAGCTTCTTCAGCTAAGAAGCAATAGCTTTATGTGACCCTCATGGAGGGGATTCAGGGAAAAGAATGTGCTCCTTTCTCACTTTCATTTTCCCTGTCTTTCTGCTATGCAAACCTTTCAACAAATGCAGTGGGGGAAAATCAAGAAAAGTGATGACTACTCTCAATAATTATTTTACCTTCAAAAGATTCTATTCCTTTGACATAGAGGCAAAGCAGAACACCTAAGTACAGACTTTCAAGCTAGTATGTTTTTCTTTCTGTTCCTCAAAAGAAGAGGCTTGATGTAGCTCATAAGTTTTGAAGTGCTAATTACAAATGAGCCCAGAGAGGTTGGCATAATTTCCTAAGGATGTCGAAACCAAGGAACAGCTTATGGGCTACAAATCTCCCCTCCCCAGTTCCCAAGTCCTCCTCATCTCATCTACATTTGTACAAGGAAAAGACATAATTCTGTGACAATGAGTTTATAATGGAAATGGACTGAACAAGGTCATTTAGTCCCTAAAGACTATAGTTACACTAGAAATTCACACCCTATATTGAGGCTCCCTTGTGAGAGAACCCATTCCCTGTCTCTATAGTAGTACCTGTTGTCTGAGAAGTCCTGACTACTCGGCGGGATTGAATCACGCACATGAAAAATTGCAGATGAAACTCCTCTTTATGCATGGTTATTTCCTAGAAATAAGAGAGTTTAATCCAAATGAATGGATCTGTGGAGTGATTAAGGTTCCAATGACTGACATTGACCAAGTATGATCACTACTGCTAGGCCTTAGAACTTGTCAACATGAAACTATCATCATATGAAGTAATATATATATATATATATATATATATATATATATATATAATCCGTTTTTATACACTTGACAAGGCAGGATCCCTTTGAACTAAGCAAGCACTCCATTTTCCCAGCTGCTGAAGGTATGGAAAGGGCTGGGGACTGCCAGAGTTTTTCCTTTCTCATGGCTGAGCTCAGAATGTAGTTGTTATCTAGTGCCTACTTGGAAGCATTCTCCAAGTCACAGGTCTGGGCTAGTTATGTTGTGGGGCCTGGTATAATAGTCTGAATGAACAAATATGCTTCTTTTCATGATTTTCTCTTTAAAAAGTTTGACATAGGGCTGGAGATGGGTGGTAGAGCACATGTCTAGCCTTTTTGAGGCCCTCAACTTTACTATGGCAAATGAAAAGGGAGGAGAGGTCTGGTATTGACTAAAGGTAATCATAGTGGTTCCAGACACAACAGAAGGGGGACTTTGAGCATCCTGAATCCTCTCCTGTTTCAGAAAAGGTAGGTCTTTGGTGGCTCCCATTATAGATCACTGCTTCTATTTCCAACTCCCATGTTTTTAGAGACTGACACACTACTACTTGAGCCACAGCTCCATTTCCGGCTTTTTGGTAGTTAATTGGAGCTGAAAGTCCCGTAACCTGCTGTGCTAGCTTTGAACCGTGATCCTCAGATCTCAGCCTCCTGAGAGTAGTTAGGATTACAGGGGTGATCCACTGACACCTTTCTTTCTTTCCCTCTCCCTCCTTCCATTCTTCTCTCTCTCTCTCTCTCTTTTGCCAGATAGCCAAGCATGATGTGCTGCAGAATATAAGACTGCAGGTTAAGCACTTTGTTTCATGGCCCTGCACTTGCATCCTTTCTCTGAACCGGTTTATAGTCTTCACATATTTCTCTCTCCAAACCCTGTATTAGCACCCCACGTCCTGGGATCCTCAATAAGACATACTATAGTCTGAGATCCTCTTAGATCTCAGGTCTCCAATCTATCCGGGAAGCAACAGGCTCCTAAACATGTAAAGCGACGCCGAAAAAGCTATCCAGAAAACCGAGAATCAGGAAAGACCCAAGAAAACAAACCAACAACAACAACAACAAAAAACCTCCCCTAAGAACCCGCGGTGCGGAACCAAAGCCCAAGAGCCGAGCTTCCCGGGGGGGACGTAGAAAAGTGAAGGACGAAGGTTGCACTAACGGTGTTCCAAGCACAAGAAAGAGAAAAGGGCTCAGACGGAAAAGGTAACACGGGGACTTTAGACGACGGCCTCAAACGCTCCGCGGGTTTCCTCGGGCCGCGACCACTCCAGCCAGGCGTTCCCGGGGGGGAGGGGGGGGGGGTCTCAACTCTGCCCTTTGACCTCCCGCCCGGCCCCCCCCCTTCCTCTCTTCTCCCCTCCCCCCGCCCTTCCTCGGAGGCCGCCAAGCTCGCTTCCGGCGTCGTGAAGGCAGTTCCGGTTCGCGGGCAGTTCCCGGGTTTGACGTTCCCGCGCTCGGCCGGAAACCCCCTTTGCATAGCCGCCGGTTCCGGTTCGGTGAGTGGCGGCGGGAAGCTGGGGGAGGGGTGAGGATGGAGGGAGTTTGGGCCCGGAGGTTGTGTCGGACCCGGCCCGGGGGACTTGGACGAGGCCGGGCGGAAGCGAGGACCGCTGCGGGGACTGAGCTTTCTCCTCCGCCCCGCCCCCCCGGGACCACCTCCCCTCCCCCCTGCGGCCCGACGGCCGCCGTCAGCCCGGTGTCCGTTAGCGAGGCGTCCTCGGGCGGTTCCTGCAGGCCTCTTTGCTCCCGGACTGCCGGGAGACCATCTCCCTATCATTGCAGCCGCCGCCGCAGGCCCTGTGTCGGCGGGAAGGCCGGGTGGAATCCCGCCACTTTCCCGCCGGAGCAAGAGAGGGTCTCCCTCTCTCAAAGGGAGAGCTGTTTTCATCGGGAAGTTCACCTTTCCATCACACCTGCTTCAACCTCTCGTCTCTCCTTGAGACCTCTGTGATAGTTCTCGACTACTTCTGCGTCTCACGTAAACAGGTCTCCAACTCTTTACTGTGTGTGCTATCTCCCCGAGATGTGATCCTATTGCTTGTGCCAACCACCAGAAAGAGACGTCGGGACCCTCCCTCTTGCCCGGGTTATGAAATCTCCCTTAACAGCCACAGTTTGCTTACCTGGCTCATCGCCTCCTGGTAATTTCTCCTCGACTTGGTCTCTCCTAACGTGGTCTCTCGATCTATCTATACCCTGCTTTTTCTTGTCTTGAGAGCTTGGTGATTTCTGTTTATCAGTGTCTCTGCAGTATTTCTGCTATCTTTTGGGCTTACTTTGCTCTTTTATCGCTTTTAAGTCAGACTTGTTAAAACATTATTTCAGTTCATGTTTGGTAGGTTCTGCTTGAGTCTACCTACTGGAGTGGTGGTGATTCTTGTAAAGTGTATGTAGGCTGCCAACAATATGACTTTAGGTCTTCGTTGGATATGCTGAATGGAGCAGATCACATCATCTCCTAAGTCTTGATTCTTCATAAAGATAAATTGTGTTAGCGACTCCGTGTTGAAATATAGATGATGCTGACTTTGAAGTGACAGTGAAACCTTGTATTTCTTAAGTGTGATCCTTTAACTGCCTTCGAGTTAGCCATTCCTCCTTTACCTCTCGGCTTCTTTAAGGAAGCTTCATTTATATGTATACCTGATTTCACCTAATTGTCCCAACTGCAAAGATGATGAGCACCATATCACCCATACAGTGAGTTAAGGCTAGAGGGAGTAGATGGATACAAAAACAGGTTCTGCCACTTGTGATGTAATTCTTGACTACTGCTTTAGAAGTCCTCTCTTCTGGTGACTTCAATATCTACCAGTTTAACCAGCTTTACTGCATCTGGATTTATGCGTCTGGATTGCTAAGTCTGGATAACTAAACTGGTCAGTGGCAAGCAACAGCTCTTGCTTATCTTTGTATCCCAATACCGCACACTTAGTAGGTGCATAATAAATGTATGTGTCAAGAAAGAATACCTTTTAGGCCATTGAACATTAAGTGTATTAAGGTTTAATTGAGTGAGTTAACATGGTGGAGGAAAGAAAACTCTAAACATGTGATGTACAAACTATATATTATATGCATAATTGTTTTCCAGAGCTCAGGGTAGAGTAATTCACATGATTATTTCCACACCTTTCTCATAACTAGCTGGTTCTAACCACATGTTGGTCCTGGATACAACTGTACAATGCTTCTCAATATATATTTTCTAGTAATTTGATCATCATCTAAACATTTCCTTTTATAATCTTATCTTTGCCAGTGTGTATGCTGATAAATGTTTTACCACATTTAGTATTTCTGTTCAATCAAAATTCTTTGTCATCTTTTTTCCCTCCACTTTCAGATTTTCAGTTGTGTTCATCTACTGAATAGATTCATATGAATAGCTAAGTGCTGGTGTTCTTTTCATAAATTAAATGATATTCAGATAGTAGGAATGCATTATTAAGATAATTTTCTTAAAAGAAAAAAAATTAATCTTTATAAGAATTTGATGGCAGAATGTTACCTGATTCAGCATTTAATATGGATTCTTAGGGTTCGAAAAAGAATCCCTTCTAGTGCAATTGCAGAAAGGCCAAAAGAAACTAAGCACACGGAAGAGGCTAGATATATTTCTTTTAATGTAAGAGAAAATACTTGGTCTGATTAAACATAAATCAGCCTGGATTTCTCAGGGCTAGCTAGAGATTTTTTTTTAATTGCCCATGTGAACCTAAGTGAGAATGATTTAATGGATATTAATGTTAACCAACAATAATGTTAATGTGTTTGAAATATATTGTGTTTGCTGGGAAGTCAAGGTTCTTCCCCTGTCTGCATTTAACCTCTCTAAATCTAAACAAAGTTTTTAAAGTTGTTTGAATTTCTGGCTTGTTTTCCTCTTCACATCACTCAAAAAGGCAAAGAAATTTGGGATTCTTTTTTTTGGGGGGGTCTGGTCGTGGGGCCTGAACTCTGGGCCTGGGCGCTGTCCCTCAGCTCTTCAGCTCAAGGCTAGCGCTCTACCACTTAAGCCACAACGCCACTTCCGGCTTTTTTCTTTTTGCTTATGTGGTACTGAGGAATCGAATCCAGGGCCTCGAGCATGCAAGGCAAGTGCTCTACCACTCAGCCACCTTCCCAGCCCTGGGATTCTTTTACTAGGAATCAGACTTGTAAAATTCTCAATATAAAGAAAGAAGGGAGGGACAGATAGGAAGGAAGCTAATGATGACAATTAGAAAATGAGTTGAAAAAATAAAAGTACTGCTAAATTATTGACTGATATGTTCTCCCCCCCCCCCCCCCCAATCCCCCCTTAATCTGGAACCTAAAGAAATCTGCCCTATTAAAGAAAGAAGAAAGGGAAAAATGACCTGGAGAATTTCCAAATAGAAACCTGTGCTAAGTTGAGCATTTGAAAGTGTATTTGATCTAAAGCTTAAAGTCATTGGAGGTCTTTCCTGGCAAGCTTGGATAATCAGATAATCATTCTTAATCTATAGCTGTCTCAAAAAAAGTCCAGCTGCCTTCCTTTGTGTATGCGCTTTGTTGAGTGACCACAGAGAGATCCTCTTGTTAGGTAGTCTCCTGAATACAATGAAGTCCTAGTATTGCAATGTACTTAGTGAAGTGCTCAATCTTTTAAAAAGATAGTGATGTGAATAGATATGGGTGTGATGATTACTATCTCTAGTTCTCCCCATTGATAGACCTAGTTCTTTTCCCCTCTTCCCTTTTCTCTTTTCCTTCTTTTCTCTCTTCTCTTCTCTTCGTTTTATGCTTGATAGAGTGTTCTATAACTTGAACTGAGCCTCAATTCCAAGGTAACTTAAGTCTAAACAACCCCCCCCCCCCCCCGACTCCCCCCTTTTTTTTCTGGGAAAAGGGGATATATCAGAGAAGAAAGTAAGGCAAGTCTCCTATCTGTGGTTTCACTTTTGCAATTTCAGTTATGCACAGTCAACTGTGGTTCAAAATTAATTAAGTGGAAAATTCCATATTTTGAAATTGAGGCTATTCATATAACTTATTATATTTCATTATTGTTAATCTCTTACTGTGCTATATATATATATATATATATATATATATATATATATCTCCCATATATTGGTACATATGTATGGGTGAAAAACAATAGTGCATATGCAGAGTTCTATACTATCTGCAGTTTTAGGCATCCACTGGGGGCTTGGAACATATTCCTTGCAAAAAAGAGAAGGCTATGGTGTAAGGTGAAGGAACTTTGTTTTTTTAAAAGCAGGTTGCAGTGGGTAGGGGAGATGTTGATGGATGGTAATTGAACCTAGATCTTTTAGTTGTTAGGCAAATGCTGTGTCACTGGGTTGTATCCTCAGCAGTTTAAACAGTGATGGGGGGGGGGGCAGGAATACCTTGTACAACTGCAATACATTGTTTGATAATGCTTAACAAATCAGTAACTTTATATTGGCTACTAAGTAAGATGTGTGGACATAGTAAGATCATTATAAGGTTTGTTTATAAAATGGTTTAATGTGAGATAATAGGGAAAGCAATGAATTGGGAAGAAATTTTAGGCCATGTTTTTAGTGTAGTCACTAACTTTAAGACTTTCTGCAAAGGGCTGGGAAGTTGGCTCAGTGGTAGAGTGCTTGCCTTGCATGCATTAGGCCCTGGGTTCGATTCCTCAGCACCACATAAGCAGAAAAAAAAAAGCTGGAAGTGGCGCTGTGGCTCAAGTGGTAGAGTGCTAGCCTTGAGCTGAAGAGCTGAGGGACAGTGCCCAGGCCCAGAGTTCAGGCCCCATGACCAGACCAAAAAAAACAAAAAAAAGACTTTCTACAAATTATTCAGTCTCCCAAGGGTTGGATCTCCAACTCATTTCTTGCTCTAGTGTTCTTATTCCGTAACTTGTCTGTAATTGCTGTTTAGCACAGTTTGTAGAAGTGTTTGAAAGTATCTTAGGCCAATTTTATTTTTTTCTTCCTATCAAGTCATCTGCCCTTAAATTTTCTCCAAGAATGCAGTTGTCACTTCTGAGTGACTTCCTGTTCTAGAATATATGAAGTGGATGTTTCACTATATAATGCTCCTGTTTTGTGTCTTCTTTTATAGGACTTTGTATCTTTGCTAAAGTCAGTGATGTGAAAAGACCTGACATGGGTAAGATCGACTATGAAGTCATTTGATCATTTCAGTTAGTCTGATTAGTTATGCTGAGTTAAGCTGGAGTGAAAAGATGTGTTCCCTGGTATTTCCAATATTTGTAAAGAGTTACATATGCATAATGATAATATTGAGAAATCTTAATTTTAAATATGAAATATAACAAACACAGCAATCAAACTTTTTATTATTGTATTAAAAAACATATATATATAAGCAAACATTTTTTTCCTGTTTATTGTGTACTTACCCTAAGTATTTGAGATGAATGAATACATTTAATATTTCCAGCCCCCTTACTAGAATACCTAATAGTACTTACAAAGTAGATACTACCATCAATATCTATACCCAGCTTCCCTGTTTTGTTTTGAAAGCAGATCTTACTATTTAACCCAGTCTGGCTTTGAACTTCTGATCCTCCTGCCTTAGCCTCCTGAATGTGGAGATTACAATAATGCACCAGTAGCTTCAATTTATTTTTATATTAAACTTTATCTCCTCTCTAGCTCTCTCCTCTCTTTCTCTTTGTCAGTATTGTGATTTGAACTCAAGGACTGGGTCCTGTCTCTGAGCTTTTTTGCTCAAGGCTAGCATTCTTCTCCTTGAGCCACAGCTCTACTTCCAGCTTTTTTGGACCTTAATTGGAGATAAGAGTCTCATGGACTTTTCTGCCTTGGTTGGTTTCAAACTGTGATCCTCAGATCTCAGCTTCCTGAGTAGCCAGGATTATAGGTGTGAGCTACCAGTGTGGAGCTTGTATTAAATTTTTAATAATTAAAACATGAAAGCTTAATTTGGAAGAAATTTCAATAAGTTTTTAAACCTTAAGCTGTTTTTATTCTGGTAAGAATTTTAAACTGTGAGGTAGATGATATTAGTCAATTTCAGTGACATTTTAAGAATGATGTGTTGCAATTTCCTGACAGTGGTTAGCTGTGAAGGAGGGGTTTCATTCGACTGTGGAAATCATTAGGTGAAAACAGTGGTTCATAGGAAAGAAGTTATTCAAGAATTATGTGACTCAAAGTAATCTGTGCTCTTTTCTAGATGATATTGCTGACAGGGTGAGGATGGATTCTGGAGAAGTAACTTTAGTGAACCACAACTCTAGCTTCAAAACCCACCTCCGGCCACAATCAGGTTTTCCAGAGGACCAGCTTTCATTTTCTGACCAGCAGGTTAGGAATAATTTTTTCTCTTAATTATTTTATTCCATTGTAAGTTTTTATCTGATGTAGTTTAAATGTCTCTCTCTTTCTCTCTCTGTCACACACACACACACACACACACACATACATGTGACCTTAGTGTTTGGAATTCTGCTTGGTATACTGAAGTGAAGACAAAGTTAACACAGGCTAGGAATGAATTGTTTGACAGCAATACTTTTTAGAAAACTTCATCATTTCTCTAAATATTATACTTGTCAACAATAGATCAGCATCCTTTTAAACTAATGCCTTATATTTACTAAGCATTAAGTTTGAGGAGAGAAGTAAACCTATATGCACTTTGCGATTTTTATGGGCTGTAAAGTTTACTCAAGGTGTAGCCCAGAATGAGCAGCTTTGGTGTTGCTTGGGAGCTTGGAAGAAATGCACAATCTCAGAAATTACCACTTATCACTGAACCTTTATGTTAAAAGCATCCCCTTGCTGAGTTATACGCATATTAAATTGAGAGGCTGTTAAGAAAGCTTTCTCTGTGGAAGGCCATTAGAAATTTGGGTGAGGTCACTCTTCCTTTTGAAAATACTTAAGCATTGCAAAGTGGACATTGAATACTTGTAGCATCCTTCCCCCATTATCATTTAATATCTGTTTCTACATTTCTGGTTTTCATCGTGGGTATTCTACCACCTGTAGTTAAAAGCTATCTCTGTAATATTTTCAAAAGAATCAAAATGAAGATTTTTCTCAGTCTCTTTAATACATGTGACACTGGCCTTCAGATAGGATATATAAAAAATATATTTACCTTCAGATAAACTTTTTTTGGATTAGGTTATATAGCAGATCTTTATTTTTCATTTTTCCCCTTGAGCCTGAATATTTCATCAGATTATCTAGTTTATTAGTATGTAGCTTATTTGTAATACATGTAAATATATTGAGTTGTGAAATATTCCATAATTTTACTTGGTGATATATATTTCTTAATCTATGTAACTTTTATTCTTTTCATTGCCAAAAATATGTTTTAAGAAAAATCTTCTGCTTTGTTTAGATTTTACCTTCCAGGCAAGAAAATTTGGACCGATCTTTTACGTGTTCTACAAGAAGTGCAGCTTATACTCCCAATTATTACTCAGGTATGATACATTACTTGTCATCAAGGCACATACTTACTGTTCAGATTTCTTCCTAGCAAATGTTTTGGGCTGTTTCTAGTAGTGAAAACATTGTCATAGCTGGAGGTGTAGCTCTCAGTAGTAGAGAGCTTGTTTAGTATGTACAAGTTTAGTATGTACAAGGCCCTGGGTTCAATTCCTAGGTGGGGGTGTGGGAAAGCATTGTCAAAGCAAAAGGACACTTTATTCATGAAGTACATAAGCTTCTTATGTATATGTGGGTGCTATACTTAAAAGTTTTAATTTCAACCAAATACTAATTTTTTTTGTGTCAGTCCTGGGACTTGAACTCAGATCCTGGGCACTGTCCCTGAGTTTCTTTTGCCCGAGGATAGTGCTCTACCACCTGAGCCACAGCTCCTCTTTGGCCTTTTTCAGTAGTTTAGTGGATAGGAGTCTTGCAGAGTTTCCTGCGGGGGCTGGCTTCACACTGCAATCCTCAGCTCTCAGCCTCCTGAGTAGCTAAGATTACAGGCATGAACCACTGGCACTCAGCTTCCAAATACTAATTTTTAGTGAAAAAGTTTTGGAATCTATACACTTATTTGTCCATTGTGCCATTTTGAAAATCAGTAGAGCTTTGTTTTTGTTTTGATTTTTTTAATATATGTGTGATATAAAGAATATTTGTTTCTTACTGATTTAAACTACAAAGCTAGTTTATTTCTATTCTGTGTGAAAAAAATTAAACCTAAAATTTTTATTACCAAAACTTAGCCCTATTACTATCAAGCAGGAAATATTTACATGTTTTTCTCTAGCACCTGCCACAGCCATATGTTTGCATATTCAGGAGCTTATATTTAACTTGTGATCATGACAGAAGTTCCTATCACTGGCCTGTGTTTAGACTTTCAGCTTTCTTTCTTTCTTTTTTTTTGTTGGTTGTGGGGCTTGAACTCTAGGCCTGGGCACTGTCCCTCAGCTCTTCAGCTCAAGGCTAGCACTCTACCACTGAGCCACAATGCCATTTGTGGTTTTCTGGTGGTTTACTGGAGTTAAGAGTTTCATGGACTTTCCTGCCCAGGCTGGCTTTGAACCGTGATCCTTAGCTCTCAGCCTCCTGAATAGCTAGGATTACAGGCATGAGCTACTAGCTCCATAGTGGACTTTCAGTTTTCTACCTCTGCCCTCAGAAAGAATTTTGTTGCCTCATGTCAGGATGACTCAGGAAGATGACAGTGGTCTTCCCACATCTTTTCACTCCTCATACTTCTTTTGCCACAAATATTGGAAAGCTCAAAATACCATTGAGCTTGCCTAAATGAGGTTTTTATAAGGATAAACTAAGATGATAAAATATGAAATGCAAATAATAATCATTGTTATTTGGCTTCCTCAGGATTCTTTGTCAACAAGATGAGATCTCCTCCCCTAAAAAGATGTTAGTATAATATTCTTTTAAATTTATTTTATATTTAAGTGTGATTTAAGTGGGTGGCATTTTATCTATCCTGGGCACAGGATTTCTTTTCTTAGGGTGAACCACTGGCCTCTGCATAATATGTGCATAATATTTATACTAAAGCCAGTTAGCTCAGAAAGTATCTCTGCTATCATTAAAAGGCCTTTTTAATGAACAAAAAGCCTGAAATCTGTTTTGAAAACTCATTATCAAACCTGGAGAAAGCACAGCTGAATAGTTAAAAAAACATATGCTTAGTATTTCCATTTTAATTTGGACTTCTTGCTTATAATTTCATATGTAATTTTACAGTTAAGTAGAATGTTTGCTTTAGGTTAAAAATGTAATTGCTTAATTGGACATTGATGAAGACGAACTAAGCAACTCAAGGGCAGCAGTGGGTGAGAGGGAAAGGGGAAATAGCTAACACTAAGCAAAAGGAAAGAAATGTACATACCACCCGATGTGGAAGAAATAGTTGTATTGTCAAAGCTCATAGAATTCACAAACCTTATAGACCACGATAATGACAATTTGCCTCATGAAGGTTAGAATGTGTTTGTGACTTTAAGTATCACTACCTCACAGTACTGTGAAATTTGTGAAATTTATGTAATCAATCACAATAAAAAATTATTTTAAAAAATAATTGCTTAGCTGTGTACCAATGGCTTATACCTATAATCCTAGTTATTCAGGAAGCTGAGAGTTGAGGATCACAGTTCAAAGCCAGCCTGAGGAACAAAATCTGTAAGACTCTTATCTCCAAATAACAAGCAAAAAAGTTGGAAGTGCAGCTGTGGCTCAAGTGGTAGAGCACTAGCCTTGAGCAAAAATCTCAGGGACAGCTGCCAGGCCCTAAGTTCAAGCCCTGTGAGAGAGAGAGACAGAGACAGACAGAGACAGACAGACAGACAGACAGACAGACAGACACGCAGGCAGGCAGGCAGACAGACAGACAGACAGACAGACAGACAGACAGACACACACACACACACACACACACACACACACACACACACAGTAATACATGTTATATAGAAATATACTCAGAGTCCCTAGATTCAACTCGTTTTGATTTCTTCTCACTTTATTTTCTTGAGTATATTCATAGTACACATTGTAGGATTTGATACATAAAATCTTTATAACAAAATTTGTGCTTTTAGTTTTCCATCTGTTTGCTTGTTTTCATATTTATTGTTTACTGTTGATTTCTAATCCATGGAATCAATATGCATATCCATAATCCTTTTGTGATCCCAAACCTGAAAAAAATCTGAAAATCAGTTTTTTTTTAAATTTGACATCAAAACCTGACCTAATCTAAATTCATTCCTTGGAAAAGCCTACAATGAATTAATATGAAGCAGTTAGTATTTTTGTTCATTTATCTCTGTAAATATGAGTATACATTTTGCTGCATATGTATCAGTTTATTAACAAAAATATAAAATTAATATAAATAAAATAATATAATTAAAAAATTAATATAAATATAATAATAATGATGTTCAATATTATACTTACAAGCGTAAGTGGTGCTGTGGCTCAAGTGGTAGAGTGCTAGCCTTGAGCTGAAGAGCTGATCCTAGGCCCAGTGTTCAGGCTGCACGACAGACAGACAGACAGACAGACAGACACACACACACACACACACACACACACACACAAAGACAAATGGAAGTTATGGCTGGGAAGATGGCTCAGTGGTAGAGTGCTTGCCTTGCATGCATGAGGCCCTGGGTTCGATTCCCCAGCACCACATAAGCAAAAAGAAAAAAAGCCGGAAGTGGCACTGTTGCTCAAGTGGTAGAGCGCTAGCCTTGAGCTGAAGAGCTGAGGGACAGTGCCCAGGCCTAGAGTTCAGGCCCCACGACTGGACCCCAAAAAAAAAAAAAAAATAAGAATTTTATGTTCAGAAATGCATTTGAACCCTGAGGTTTATAACTTGGGACCATAGGTCTGTACTGACCTGGGCACTGGTAGCTCATGCCTTTAATCCTAGCTACTTAGGAGGCTGAGATCTGAGGATTGCAGTTCGAAGCCAGCCCAGAGAAGGAAAGTCCATGTGACTCTTATCTATCTCCAATTAACCACCTGTAAACCAGAAATGGTAAGGTGGCTCAAAGAGTACTAATGTTGAGTGAAAAAGCTCAGGAATAGGGTTTGTGCCCTGATTTCAAGCCCATGACCAACTGGGGGGGAAAAAAGGTCCGTGCCTTTGTTTGCTTTAGTATCCTCTGGTTAGGTACCACTTCACCTTTGCCATTTTTAGCTATTACTAATAACATGACTTAAATCTTTAAATCCTTTTTACTTTAATTTTAGTAGAACCTTAATTTTCACAAGGGCTAGATCATCAATTACCTTAGATTCTCATTTTCTTGTCTGTGGCAATATGTGAGGCCAGTTTCCTCGCTTTCTCCTTAATTACATGATTGTTGTGTTTTCTGATGATTATCTTTATACCAAGTTGATACCTGTATCAGAAATCTCATACCAAAGTTTACCTCTCACTTGAGTTTAGAAACTTTGTTTTGATTTTAATTTTTTTCTCTCTTTTTTTTTTACATTTGTAAGAGTTTAGGAACTTCATAGGCAAATAAAAATGTTCTTCGGAACAGTTTCATACATGTCAATGAATAGAGAAAAATAACAATGCAATAGTAAACTCATACTGAACTGTGACTGTGGAGTGGGTCTCTAAACTATTCAGATTGACAGAGGAATCAGATTTGTTTCTATGCCAAATTTCATCTAGTTTATAATTAAACAAGCTTCTGCCTTACCTTACATTACCCAAGTTGCTCCCTAATTTTTAGAACTTTCTGAAGGCCAAGAATCTGTTTACTGGGCTGGGAAGGTGGCTCAGTGGTAGAGCGCTTGCCTTGCATGCCTGAGGCCCTGGGTTCGATTGCTCAGCACCACATAAGCAAAAAGAAAAAAGCCGGAAGTGGCGTTGTGGCTCAAGTGGTAGAGCGCTAGCCTTGAGCTGAAGAGCTGAGGGACAGCGCCCAGGCCGATTTCAGGACCCACGACCGGACCCCCCCCCCCCCCAAAAAAAAAAAAAAGAATCTGTTTAGTTATTTCTATACTAAAGTCTTTTGGGAACTAGAGGTATAGCTTAGTGGTAGAATGCATGGCTAGCATGCACAAGGTCCTGGGTTTAATCCCCAGTACTAAAGAAAAATTTAAAAGAATAAAAACTCCTTGATAACCGTGTGCTTTTAAAAACTTTCCCTTACTATACCCATTGCAAGTCCTATTGAATTTTATCTATTCTATCTCCTGTGGATATAGTCTGGCATGCTCAAGGCAGTATCTCATTACTACCAAAAATAGAAAAAGATACAGTCATTTGTAATTAGCCTCACATTGATTTCTATGGTCAGTTGCCTTGAGCCTAACCTCTTAAAAGAGGCTAGAGTAGGAGATCTATCTAGTTTATCTTTCTTAGTCCTTTGATCCAGACTCTTGGTGTTTGTTTCCTGTTTCACCATACCATCTCTTCTAGCAAGATGGAAAATGAGCAAGAAAACCTTAACTTTCAGAATCAAGTATCTAGAATTTTAGAATCTAGAAATTTTAGAATCTAAAAATTTTTTAATCTTAATTGTTAAATTATTATTATTATTATTATTTTGCCAGTCGTGGGGCTTGAACTCTGGGCCTGGGCATCGTCCCTCAGCTCTTCAGCTAAGTCTAGCACTCTACCACTTGACTTGCAGCTTTTTCTGTTCATGTGGTACTGAGGAATTGAACCCAGGGCCTCATGCATGCAAAGCAAGCATGCTACCACTGAGATACCTTCCCAGCCCCTTAAATATTAAACATTTTAAATCTTAATTTAAAAAATCTTAACATTTTAAAATGTTAAATTTTAGAATCTAGAATCTTATTTATTGCTTTTAGATCTCTCTCTAGATCAAGCCCCTTAAAAATATGTTCAAGTCCACTCATAATTAGAATATTAAAGCAGGTATAGTGGTACATGATTGTAATCCCAACTATTTAGGAGGCCAGAATAGGAAGTTGAAGGTTTGAGGAAGGTCTAATCAAGACTTGAAACCCTACTTTTAAACACTGAAAAGAGGGCTGGGAAGGTGGCTCAGTGGTAGAGCGCTTGCCTACCACATGAGCAAAAAATAAAAAGCCGGAAGTGGCGCTGTGGCTCAAGTGGTAGAGTGCTAGCCTTGAGCTGAAGAGCTGAGGGACAGTGCCCAGGCCCAGAGTTCAGACCCCATGACCGGACCAAAAAAAAAAAAAAAAAAAACACTGAAAAGACTGGGGGTATGTGACTCAAGTATTAGAGTGCTTTGTCTAGAAAGCTTAGGTCCTCAAGTTTTGTCACTATTACCACCATAGAACAATGTTTTAAATAGGAAAGAAAAGATTAGACTATTAAAAAACTTTATTTATTTAATTTTTGATGCTGAGTGTGGGGCTTGAACTCATGGCCTGGGCTGTGTTCCTTAGCTTCTTTTGCTCAAGGCTAATGTTCTACCATTTGAGCCACAGCTTTACTTCTGGCTTTTTTGGTAGTTTAGTGGATATGAGTGTCACAGAATTTGGCCGTTGGTGGCTAACACCTGTAATACTAGCTACTCAGGAGGCTGAGATCTGAGAATCGTGGTACAAAGCCAGCCTAGTTGATGAGACTCTTGCCTTCAGTTAACCACTAGAAAACCAGAGGTGGTATAATGGTTCAAAGTGGTAGAGGGCTAGCCTTGAGGGAAAAAGCTCAGGGACATGCCCAGGCCCTGAATTCAAGCCCTACAACCACTACCACCACCACCACCACCTCCTAGACTTTCCTGCCCAGGCTGGCTTCAAACAATTATCCTCAGATTTCAGCCTCTTGTGTAGCTAGGATTATAGTCATTAGCCACCAGTGCCTGACAAAAAATTGATTTTTTAAAAAACATTTTAGAAAACAAAATGCAACACTTTCACTGTGATGACTTAGTAATGGCCAAGGTTCAAGTTTCTCAGTTTTATAAAGAGGACAGTGTAAAAAGAAAAAAAAAATTTAAAACTCTACCAGGGTACCAGTGGCTCATGCTTAAAATCCTAGCTCAGATCTCAGAGGCTGAGATCTGAGGATTGTAGTTTGAAGCCAGCTGGGGCAGGAATATCTGTGAGACTCATCTCCAGTTAGCTCCAAAAAAAGCTGGAAATGGAGTTAATGGCTCAAATGGGCATTGGCCTTGAGCAAAAAAGTTCAGGGATTGTACTTAGGCTCTTGAGTTCAAGCTCAGGACTGGCACCAGTAAAGAAAAAGACACTTTAAAACTCTAAATAAAAAAAGAATAAGGTGAAAGTAATTGAATTTGGTAGTGCTTAGGCTCATTATCAAAATCTTTGGAAACTATGTTAAATTAGGTTATCAACATATCATTTAGTAGTTAAAATTATTATATTTAAAGTTTCGTGTTCAAGTAACTAAATATATTGTAAAGTTGACAGGTGCATTTGACAGTTACTTTTGTAGTAAGTGATTAATCTGACATATTCTTTTTTAATAGAAAAATTTTTATTCCCATAAAATATTGCCTGTGCATGGAGAAAATTTATAGTCACAAACCTATCATTTTATCATTACAATATAATCATAATTGAAATTTCAATGTATTTCCTTCTAGTTTTGGTATAAATAATAGAATTTCTAGCATTGTCTTTTTGTTTTTGTTTTTGGTGCCAGTACTAGGACTTAAACTCTGAGCCTTAATTTCTCAATTGGCTATTTTTTCTTGTGGTTGGTACTCTACCAGTTGAGTCATACCTCCACTTCCAGCCTTTCATTGGGTAATTGGAGAGAAGAATCTCTCAAATTTGTCTGTTGGGACTGGCTTTGTACTGCAGTTCTGATATTTTAGCCTCCTGGGTAGCTAAGATTATAAGTGAGAGCCATAAGCAACTCACTGGCATTGCAATTCGGATGACAGATTGTCAAGTTAAATAATTACTTTAAAAAGAATATCAGCAGGCTGGGAAGGTGGCTCAGTGGTAGAGAGCTTGCCTTGCATGCATGAGGCCCTGGGTTCGATTCCTCAGCACCTTAAACAAAAAAGAAAAAGCCGGAAGTGGTGCTGTGGCTCAAGTGGTAGAGCGCTAGCCTTGAGCTGAAAAGCTGAGGGACAGCGCCCAGGCCCAGAGTTCAGGCCCCATGACTGGACCCCCCCCAAAAAAAAAAGAATATCAGCAGCCTCCTATTGGTTCCTCTGTAGCATTACATCCCATCAGCAATAGAAAATTGTTCAGTGATATATCACTGAGAGGACATGGAACCCTTTATTCTAATTAAACAGACTGATACATGCTTTTCCTTTGATTTTAAAACTGAAGCCCTTGTCAAATGCCTTTTGAGATGGCTATTCTGGTTTGTCCTTCATCTCAAATTTCACATCTGTCAGGGTGATTTGCATTTTGACACACTTCTTCCTCAAACAGACATCTTTAATTAGATAACTCATTCAATTTTACCCAAAATGTATGAGACACAAACATATCTCTTATTACTTTGCATTTAGCGATAATGGTTTTCTTTTTGATAATAATCATTTCCTGTAGTTTTATATCTCTGACTTTAAAGTAATACTAACAGATTAACATACTACAAAGGAAGAAAGTTGTAATTCATTTTGAAAGTACATTCTACTTGTTTAATTATGAGACTAAGTTCATGTATTGATAAGTTAATGGAAACTAAGACCGTTCCTTATTGCCTTTTATCTTTCTCTTATTTACTCAATATCCTGGCTTGTTGATGAACCTTAAGAAAACAAATTGTCTGTTTTGAAGGCTGCCTTGCTTTTTGTATAGAGTATCAAACAATACATCATTAAATATTTTAATGCTATTGTGCAAAGTTCTATGGTAATGTTCTTCAATAAAAATGTTGTCAGCTTTCAGCAAAAATCCTGGAAATAGAGTATTGTCATTCTTGTTTTTTCATTGAAGCTCCTCAGTTCCATAACTGAATGTTTGAAATTAAATTGGAGGAGCTGTTTTAAATTGCCTAATCCTGCTGATATAGAAGAGATTATAGAAATTAATCTATCACTCCTAGCTGAAACTTCAACAAGGGTTTGTCACCTCAGTTTGTAATCCAGAAGTCATATAGGTCAAATTATAAGCAAATAATCCTCAGTCTGGAAGTATTGATAATATCTGATGATTATGGATTTAGGTCATTGAAGAATATCATCCCTGAACCAGATGTATATAATGGGTCATTCCTGCCATAAGCCAGCCAGTCTAAGCAGCAATTACATAATCTGTGCCCTTTGAGAGAGTCCCTGAGTCTGGAACATGGTACTAAAAAGAAAGTGACACCAGCTGCTTATTAAGCAATAATTGTTGTTCATTTGAATTACAATTCTCCTTGGCCCTCCACCTGCTTTCTTACTGGTCTGGCCTACCTTCTTTCAGGCCCAGGCCTGGGAGTGCTTGCAAGATATAGTTGGGGTAAAATGTTGACTTTTGGTGGACACCACGGAGTCACATTGATGCAGATAAGGCACATGGCTGTGGCAGGATTCAGCTCCTTCATCAATTTTCAGGTTAGTATGGCTGAATCAATTATAGTTTGTAGACATTCCCTTACTGCAGATCTTACTGGCAGTTGAGACTGGGATCTTTCTTCCATGAGAGACATGGTGATATGCCACATTACTTTGGAATACAATGATGGACATGGTTACAGTCATAAAGAGAACTAGCTATCGTTATTTGTTTAATTTATTCAAACTTTGTGTGTGTGTGTGTGTGTTTGTTTTTTTGTTCTTTTTCTAGATAACCCTTCCTCAGACAATTTTCTTGGCGCAGATGACTTAAGAACCTTTGGTCAGAGTGCAAATGGTCAGTGGAGAAATTCTACTCCAGCATCAAGCTCAACTTTACAGAAATCAAGAAACAGCAGAAGTCTTTACCTCGAAACTCGAAAGACCTCAAGGTTCGTGTTCTGTCAGCCTAGTTCTCAAGCCCTTCATCAGATTTTATAGAAAATGGCTAGATGGGCATTTTAAAGCAGTAGTACCTTTTTTTTTTTTTTTTTACTTCAAACCGTGTGTGTGTGTGTGTGTGTGTGTGTGTGTGTGTGTGTGTGTGTGTTTTCAGCCTTTTTTTTTGTCAGTTGTGGGGCCTGAACTCGGGGCTTGGGTACTGTCCCTCAGCTCTTCAGCTCAAGACTAGCGCTCTACCACTTGAGCTACAGTGCCACTTCTGGCTTTTTCTGCTTATGTGGTGTTTAGGAATTGAACCCAGGGCCTCATGCATGCAGGGCAAGCACTCTACCACTGAGCTACCTTCCCAGCCCATGTTTTCAGCTTTTAGTTTACTTGATGCTGATGGTGATAGTCAAATCTTAACATTAGAGAAGAGAGAATCTTGGTGGATAAAAGTACACTGGGACACTTTAGAATATATGGCTATTACAAATTTTCAAGTAAAAATCAGTTAATCTCTGCAACCTTAGTAGGAAAGAAACAAACACATTTTATAGCCTTTCACATGAGCAGACCTGATTTAAGGCAAAACAGTGCCGCATCTCATGTATTGCTTTATTAGACCTGAGCTACTTATGTTAGCAAATAGAGTCCTATTGCTAGTTCATAAGCCTCACCTATTTCTTTTCTTTTTCCTTAGTCATGGGGCTTGAACTCAGGGCCTGGGCCCTGTCCCTTAGTTCTTTTGCTCAAGGCTAGCACTCTATCATTTTGAGCCACAGCTCCACTTCTAGTTTTCTAGTGGCTCATTGGAGATAAAAGTCTCATGGACTTTGCTTGGGCTGCTTTGAACTATAATCCTCAGATCTCAGCCTCTTGAGTAGCTAGGATTATATGTGTGAGTTACCAGTGCCTAGCTTCTGGACCTATTTCTTTACAAGATACATACTGGTTAGCAAGTATCTAACCTTGGTTAGGTATGTATGTACCTATGATACCTTAGGTAGTTCATTATGTTAATAAAGTACTTTTTTTTTCTTTTTTGGTCATGTGGCTTGAACTCTGGGCCTGGGTGCTATACCTGCACTCTTCAGCTTAAGGTGAGCACTCTACTGCTTGAGCCACAGTGCCATTTCTGGTTTTCTAGTGGTTTATTGGAGATAAAATCTCACAGACTTTCCTGCTCAGGCTGGCTTTGAGCCATGATCCTAGATCTCAGCTTCCTTAGGATTATAGCCATGAGCAGCTGGCGCCTGGCTACAATGTTATTTTTTAAAGGCACACATTCTTTTTTTTTTTTTTTTTGCTCACAGTTACTCATATTTTTTCTTTTCTTTTTTTTATTGAGATTAAGTGATTACATAAACTTCACAATATTATGGGATAGTAATACTTAAAGTCACAAACACATTTAACCTTTTCAAGGTGAACTGTCATTATCATGGTCTATGAAGCTTGTGAACTCTACAAACTTTGGCAATACAACTGTTTCTTCCAAATAGAGTATATGAACATTTCTTTACTTTTGCTTAGTGTAAGCTATTCCCTCTCTTTCTTATTCCCTCCCTCCCATCTCTGTCCTTGATTTGCTTAGTCCACTTTAATCAATGTCCAGTGCAGCTGATGGACTTCTCTGCTGTAGTTTTTTTTTTTTTTTTTTGTTCGGTCATGGGACTTGAGCTCTGTGCTTGGGCACTGTTCCTCAGCTCTTCAGCTCAAGAGTGGGCCACAGTGCCACTTCCGGTTTTCTGGTGGTTTTATTGGAGAAAGAGTCTCATGGACTTTTCCTGCCTGCGCTGGCTTTGAACGAACTGAGATCCTCAGATCTCAGCCTCCTGAGTAACTAGGATAACAGGCGTGAGCTACTGGTGCCTGGCTCTGCTGTATTTTTTTTTCATCTGTTTCCCTCTGATTCTGTGCCCTCCTCCTAGCTTCCCTCATGTAAGGCACACATTCTTACAGTGGAAATGTTCAAACTTGGCTCTGTTTGTTTGATATAACTTCATTAACTTTTGGTAGCACTCTGTTTTCTGGCATTGCAAGATACCCTTGTACTGTGTGCTTTTTTTTTTTTTTTTTTTAAGGATGTTTCATTTCAAAGCACATTTTCTCTCTCTCTCTCTCTCTCTTTTACACACACACACACACACACACACTCATTCACTCCACCTCACACCTAGGAGACAGTACCAAAGACATTGTAAAAGATCCATTATATCTTTTCTAAATAATTCTAGCTGCTCTTCCCCAACCTGAGAAAATAAGGAAGTAGATTGCCTCTCTTTTCATTAAAATGGGATAAGAGGAGAGGCTGGGAGTATGGCTTAGTGGTTGGTAGAGTGTTTGCCTAGCATGCATGAAGCTCTGGGTTTGATTCCTCAGTATTACATAAACAGAAAAAGCTGAAAGTGGTGCTGTGGCTCAAGTGGTAGAGCACTGGCCTTGAGCACAAAGGCTCAGGGATAACACCCAGCCCCTGAGTTCAAACCCTACAACCAACAAAAAAAAAAAAAAATTAAGGAGTGCGTGAGTGCTTTTTTTTTAAATATTTTTTTCTAGAGTTAATCAGTTTATTTGAATTTAGACCAGATGAGATTATTTGAAGAATTAGCATCATGGAATTAAGCTTAGGTTTGGTCAACTGTATAACTATTTTTAGTCCTGAGGAGGAAAAAGAAAATACATATAGCATGAGTAATACTTCAAACTTTGCAAACTTGTTGGGTAATGATAGATGAAAAGATCACATAAAAATTATTAAGCCTTAGAAATAAGACTGGGGCTTGAATTCTCAAAAATATTTTCTTGCAAAATTTTCTCATTAGCTAGGGCACACATAGTATAAAGACAAAGACAAAGCTCCTTAGAAGAGGAGAGAAGGCCAAAAGAATTCTGAATATTGATGTAGTCAGGTTGGTTTTAATGAAGGAGACTGCCCTCTGTTGGTCTTTCAAAAATTTTTGAAATTTATTTTAAAGATTATTACAAAACTTTAGATTTATTCACCTTTACATATTTAAATATTTACATATTTTTTGTCCTCAAAAGAACTTGGAGGAAAGTGCTGTGGAGAGTAACAGAAGATGTTTAGCATTCATAGAACCTAGGTTTTCCAAAGAAATCTAGTCATATTTGCTTTCTGTTATACCATACTGCTACATAGTTTCTGGCCAAAGAAGATTCTAGATTATGGATTTAATAGGATTGTAAGTGGCTGATAATTATATGATTTGGCAAAACATAATGCTGCAACTCCATGTATCATGTCTAGTATATTTCCCACAAATGGTTCCTATCATTCTACTGGTAATGTTGTTTTTGTTATTTCAAGACAGTGAAAGCTACCACTAGAATAATCTTTTGTCTTTCTTGAAAACGTTTTTTAGTGGATTATCAAACACTTTTACGGGAAAGTCAAACCATCACTGCCATGTATCTGCGTATGAAAAATCTTTTCCTATTAAGCCTGTGTCAAGTCCATCTTGGAGTGGTTCCTGTCGTCGAAGTCTTTTAAGCCCTAAGAAAACTCAGAGACGACATATAAGTACAGCAGAAGAGGTAAGTAAGGAAAACCTGTATCAGAAGCCATTAAAAATTAGGCTCTTATCCTCTATCAAATGGTTTGCTGCCCCTGATTGTGATGTTTACATCTATCTTCTGTTTATAATGTTGTGTTTTTTTTCTTTTTGAATTCTGCCATCTGTTCTAATGGGATTGAGTATTATGTGGGTTTATTGTTTTGTTTTTGTTTTGTTTTTACTGTCTTCTATTCCTATTGAACTCAACTGATGGCTTCAGTTACTTAATCTTCAGTATTACTGAATGACTTCTATATATCAAATGACATCTCTGTCTTTTTTGGTTTTAGAATCTTCCTGTTTCTGTAGCAAAACTGTTAACTATGTAGTTTTTGTTTCCATAGTTGATTTGATAGAACATCTACCAGGAAGTTTTTTTCTCTAAAAGAGGAAAATGTAAAAATTTTTAAAAATGATTTAAAAGAAGCCAGTTAAACAATTTATATTTTTTCATTGCTGGTAACATCTTCTTTGAGATCACAGACTTTCTTGAAAGCTGTATTCTTGGATACTTGAGTAGTTTTGTTCATTCTGCAAACTAAAAGAAAAAGAAATTTGTCATTATAATATAGCATATACTTTGCACAATAAGGAGTATGCTTATGCCAGGAACCAATGGCTCACACCTGTTGTCATAGCTACATAGGAGATCAAGATCTGAGGATCATGGATGGAAGCCAACCTGAGTAGGAAGCTCTGTAAGATTCTTATCTCCAGTTAAGCAGCAAAAAGCGAGAAGTGGAGTGGTGGCTCAAGTGGTAGAACACTATCCTTGAATGTAAAAGACAGGGCCCTGAGTTCAAACCCCTGATTGGCACAAAAAGAAAAAAAGAACTATGTTTGTAACTCTTCAATTGCATATTTATTATACAGCTAGTTAGTTTTATACTGGTTGCTATGGAGATGTAAATGAAGAATAGTGACCCTACATTTAAATGACATTAGTGTTTCTAGTGTTTTTTCTACATGTATTATTCTTTTCAGATCTTTCAACCCAGTAAAATAGGTAAAGGTTAGTTAATATTCATATTTTACAAATTTGGAAAGAAAGATCAGATCACATAGCTAGTAAGTAGGTCTAGAACCCAGCTCTTCTGAGGAAGTCTCCTTTGGTATGCTTGCTTGCTTGCTTGCTTGCTTCCTTCCTTCCTTCCATCCTTCCATCCTTCCTTTCTTTCTTTGTCTTATCTTGGGGCTTGAACTCTGGGCCTGGGCCTTTCCCCTCAGCTCTTCAGCTCAAGGTGCACACTCTACCACTTGAGCCACAGTACCAACTTCTGGTTTTCTGGTGGTTTATTGGAGGAGATAAGAGTCTCGTGGATTTCCTGCCCAGGCTGGCTTTGAACTACAGTTCTCAGATCTCAGCCTCCTGAGTATCTAGGATTACACCAGCGCTCTTTCCTTTTATTTCTACTGCCAGCTTGAGGAATTGGGCTGACCAAGTAATCTTTCTTTCCTAGTCAACCCTCTAGGCCACAGGCTAGGTCAGTGGAGGACATGGAGCTGGAATTCCTCTATAGAGTACAAAGATGTTGGGAATTAAATCTAAACTATGAAATGAAGTACAGGAATTGTGCCATAGTTGATTTTTGATCTACAGTCTACTATGAAAAGTGGGCCACATGTATTCCAGAAGAATTCATGAATAGAACAAAATATAAGAACAAACTGTATCATCAGACTTTCAGTGAATTACTTAGATATTTAGTCTCAGAAATCACTGGTTATGCAGAGAAAATACTTGGGCTTTTTTTCCCCCCTTTTATCTAGAATTCATTGATGGGAACTTAAAAATTTGGAAAAACTGATTTCCCATGGAAGTGTTAGTAGCTCCAAGAAAGATATCTTGGTTTATGTTAAAGAAGATAAAGAATTAGTGCTGGATTTGTCTTTGAACGTCAGTAATATAATGTTGCAAAAGTTATGGTTAAGATGTTGCTACTTATAGAAGTCTGATAAGAAGTTTCAAAGAAGAATTTGGAAATATGGCTATACAAAATGAGTGATTCAAAAGGCCATATGGAGGATCTATGCTATAGTAGGATAAATACTTGCCACAGCATTATTTAAATTAGTTGAGTTTAAAATTTTAATTTCTCAGTTACATTAGTTACATTTCCAGAATTTATTAGCCACATGTGGTTAGTGGTTACTGTACAATACAGATAAAACACATTTCCATGATTACAGAAGTTTCTGTTTGATATTATAGTTATTTAGGTATAAAGTTCTGTTTGGAAAAGAGAAAATGTTAGTGACCATAAAGAACTTTAAATGATAAAAACACTTGTTTCTTTTCAGTTACAGTTACTAGATTACTAGCATGTGAAGGTGATAGACTGTCATAATAGATGACAGTGATTAATTTATTTTTTAAGTGATTTTTATTTAGTGTTTTCTCATAAACCAAGTATTTTGGACTTAACAAAAAGTTGTTGAAATGTTTAATTTCCTTGAAATTTATTTATGCTAAACCAAATGAAAGGGAGACTATAAAGTTAAAATAATTTATAGTCAGGAAGTGGTGCTATGGCTCAAGCGGTAGAGCGCTCGCCTTGAGCTGAAGAGCGCAGGGACAGCGCCCAAGCCCAGAGTTCAAGCCCCATGACCGACCAAAAACAAAAAAATTAGCCAAGAATTTATATTCAATATTTGGGCTGGGAAGGTGGCTCAGTGGTAGAATGCTTGCATTGCATGCATGAGGCCCTGGGTTCAATTCTTCAGTACCACATAAGCAGAAAAAAGCCGGAAGTGGCGCTGTAGCTCAAGTGGTAGAGTGCTAGTCTTGAGCTGAAGAGCTGAGGGATAGTGCCCAGGCCCAGAGGTCAGGCCCCACGACCAACCAAAAAAAAAAGAAAAAAAAGAAATAATATATAGTCAAACAATTTATTTTGTTTGCTTTTTGTGTGTGTGTGTGTGTGTGTCCGGTCGTGGGGCCTGAACTCTGGGCCTGGGCGCTGTCCCTCAGCTCTTCAGCTCAAGGCTAGTGCTCTACCACTTGAGCCACAGCACCACTTCCGGCTTTTTTCTTTTTGCTTATGTGGTGCTGAGGAATGGAACCCAAGGCCTTAGGCATGCAAGGCAAGCGCTCTACCACTGAGCCACCTTCCCAGCCCTGGTCAAACAATTTATTAGCTTGCTAAAATTTATTTTGTGTTTGCTATTAAATTTTTGTAATCTTACAGTTGTTTTATGCTGGTGCTTATTATAAAAATGTCACCAAATTACAGGAATCTGATACGTATAAAATCTGGTATATTTACTGTCTTATACTTTTAAAAACCATCATTGGTCCTTTATTAGTTTTTTAAATGTAATATTAGCTAACTCTCACAAATTATCCAATTATTGCTGCTTTTCCTGTTAATTCTTCCCTTTTCCCCCATCTTTTTTTTTTTTTTGGCCAGTCCAGGGGCTTAAACTCAGGGCCTGGGCACTGTCCCTGAACATTTTTTGCTCAAGGCCATTACTCCACCACTTGAGCCACTGCTCTACTTTTGTTGTTTGTTTGTTTTTTGGTAATTTATTGGAGATAAGAGTCTTACAGACTTTCTGCCCAGGCTGGCTTTGAATCACAATCCTTAGATCTCAGCCTCTCTGAGTAGCTAGTTACAGGCCTGCGCCTCTGGTATCCAGCTGCCCCAGTTTTCTTATTCAAAAGCAATTTAATAATGTATAGAGAAAGGTGTTTTCTTTTGCTTTATAGTGCCAGATGGTTTATAATATAGAATTGTGTTACAAGTTTCAAGTGACTTACCTTTTCCTGTGTTTTTCCAGCAAAGCTAAATGTTATAGATCTTCTTTTGAGAGTTTCCTAATTTGTTTATTAAGCTTGCTTGGTTTGCTTGTTTGGTTTTGCTGGTTATTTTGGAGATGGAGTCTAGCTAACTTTTCTTTCCTGATTGGCTTCTTTCTAATCACAATCCTCCAGATCTCAGCTTCCTGAGAAGCTAAGATTACATGTGTAAGCCACCATTATCTGGCTTATTCTTTTTTTTTTTGGGTCCGGTCGTGGGGCCTGAACTCTGGGCCTGGGTGCTGTCCCTCAGCTCTTCAGCTCAAGGCTAGTGCTCTACCACTTGAGCCACAGCGCCACTTCCAGCTTTTTTCTTTTTGCTATGTGGTGCTGAGGAATCGAACCCAGGGCCTCAGGCATGCAAGGCAAGCGCTCTACCACTGAGCCATCTTCCCAGCCCTATCTGGCTTATTCTTATAGTATTCTTTTAGTTAATTTCTTCTCAGATGCGTAGTGGGCAAAAGTTTTTTTGTTTTTTTTTTTTCTATTCTGTAGGCTATCTTTTCATTACAATAATTGTTTCACTTGCTATGCAAATGAAATTTGATAGAATCAAATTTGCCATTTGCCAATTCTTGCTATTTCTTAAGTTGTTAGAGTCTGTTCATAATTTTGAGTTGATTTTTGTACAGGGTAAGTGATAGTTCAGCTTTTCCAGTTTTCCCAGAATCATTTGTTACACTCTTCTCCAGTATATTATTTTGGCACCTTTGTTGAGACTCATGACTTTTTCTGTGTAGGTTTATTTCTGGCTCTTCTACTCTATTCCATTGGTCTACATGTCTGGTTTTGTTTTTGTTTTTGTTTTTTTTTTTTTTTTGGGTCTGGTCGTGGGGCCTGAACTCTGGGCCTGGGCACTGTCCCTCAGCTCTTCAGCTCAAGGCTAGTGCTCTACCACTTGAGCCACAGCGCCACTTCCGGCTTTTTTTTCTTTTTGCTTATGTGGTGCTGAGGAATCGAACCCAGGGCCTTGAGCATGCAAGGCAAGCGCTCTACCACTGAGCCACCTTCCCAGCCCTTGTTTGTTTTTCTTTTTGCTAGTTTATGTGCTCTTTGTTACTACTGCTCTGGAGTATTACTTTGAAATCAAGTATTGTAGTATGTCCATCATTACTCTTTTAGGCTCAGGATAGCTTTGGTTATTCAGAGTCTTTCATTCTTCCATATGAATATTAGAATTACTT